CCCGCCGCCTGACCCGCCGGTTTTGTTTTCCAGGTGGAGCAGCTGGGGGCGGAGCTGGCGGCGGAGAGGGCGTCGTCTCAGTGCAGAGAGGGAAGCCGGCAGCAGCTGGAGAGGCAGAACCGGGAGCTGAAGGCCAAACTGCAGGAGGCGGAGAGCCAGAGCCGCTCCAGGCTGAAGGCCGCTAGCGCCGCCCTGGAGGCCAAGCTGAGGGAGGCCGAGGAGCAGCTGGAGGCTGAGAGCAGGTACCGCCGGTGTCAAATGGTCACATACATGAAGGTACACGATGTATTCCCCCAATTCTTTGGCGCTAAATAAAATACAACAAAGAAATGAAAACTTAAAAAAGAAAGTAATTTAACAATTTTAATCTGAAAAAAAACCCTCAAAATCTAATGAATGTAAAAAGTATTATTGAGTCTTTTTTCAGTTTCTATTTTACTTTTACTTTATTTTTTCCAAGCTCCCTGATTGCGCTCCATAGGGGGCAGCAGAGAGTTAAACTATGAGCAAGGCGATGCGAACATCCAACCTGAAGCTAACTTCGCAGCGCTGTGAAAACTTTCAGGGAGCGTCAGGCCGCCGCCAAGAACCTGCGGCAGAAGGAGAAGAAGCTGAAGGACCTGAGCGTCCAGATCGAGGACGAGAGGAAGCAGGCGCAGCAATACAAGGAACAGGTAACCAGGGCAACCTTCAGAGCCCCGCCCAAACGCCTGTCCCGGTCCGATCCCTGTTTAACCTCGGTTTGCTCCGGTCCGTCCCGATGACAGATGGAGAAGAGCGGCGTCCGGGTGAAGCAGCTGAAGCTGCAGCTGGAGGAGGCGGAGGAGGAGGCGCAGCGCGTGGCGGCCGCCCGCAGGAAGCTGCAGCGCGAGCTGGACGAGGCGGGCGAGGCCAACGACGCCCTCAGCAGGGAGGTGGCGGCGCTCAGGAGCAAACTGAGGTACAAGGTCACCCACAAGGTCACAGCCAACTAACAGTCTGACATGTTGACTGATAACCAGAGGCGACACCAAGTGGGGGCCAGAGAGGGCCATGGCCCCCAGAATGTCACTTCCAATTATTTCATAACATGAATCATGAAAATGAAATGAAATAACTGTAAATATTTCTCTACATAAAAGGTATCTTTAAAAGTAAATTTCACTATTTAAATTCTTTATTAAAAAAAGTAGATTTCTTTATTTCATAGGATGTTTATATATTTCATATTTTCATGATATATTTATTTGTTGATGTATTCAATTATGTAATGTATTTTGTGAATAATGCATTTTAATTAGGACAGATATATATTTTATGTTGTATTTATTAATTTTGTCATCACTAACCATGATATTATATAATTCCATATTTTTGGTTGGTCTGGCCAACTTTATATGAATTTTCTAGAGCCGCCCTTGCTAATAACTCTTCATGTCAGTTAGGATTACCACTTATTTCTGTTTAAATACCAGAAAACTGACAATTTAGTTTTTTAAGTTTTTTTAAATTTGAAGTATTAACACATTTCCTTAAATTTAAACAAACTGAAACAAGAGAAAAGAAACTAAACACAAATTTATTTGGGTCAAATTAAATATTTTCAGATGAATATCTGTACAGACGAATGTTTTTGTTTTGTCTCTTAAAGGGTTTGAAGTTTGATCATTTCAGATAATTTGTGAATTAAATTTTCATTTTCTGCCTCTCACGTCTCGCTGCTCCTGTTTCTCTGCTTCCTTCAGACATTACTGATCTCTCCTTAAACCTGGAAACAAAAAGAGCATTAACTTCCTCCACTTCCCTCTGCTTCAGGGCGCTTTAACCTTTCTCTTCCTGTGCTTCATCTTCTTCTCTCTTCCTGCTGATGTGCGCGGCGCCTCGCAGGCGTGGCGGAGGGGATTCGGCTTTCAGCGCTACTCGGATCAGCTGCGGCGGCGGCGGCGGGATCAGAAGCGCCTCGGGTCTGAGCGGCGGCGCGACCCGGCGGGCCAAAGACAACTCTCTGGATCAGCAGGAAGAGGAACCGCCCTCCCCGTCTCCTCCCACAAGCTCCCCGGATGAACGCGATGAGGCGCACCCCTGCTGCCCTGACGAGTGAAACGACCCCACGCCTCCTTTATTATTAAAATATATTTATACACTTTTCATTTCAAGATAATGTGGATTTATGTCAGCATTGGTGTTTAGAAAATAGAAATTATTCTAACCGGAGTTAAAAAAATGTCATGCAAAATGAGAAAAAGATTTGAAATATTCCATAATATATTTATGGGTTGGTAAAGAAAGCAAATCAAGATATTTTCTGATTATTTATGAATTACCTAAATTTATTGGAAATAAACATTTAAGTGTTTTAGTGGAGCCGAGTGTGTTTTTGTTTTGCAGTAATGGGGATGCAGATGACACAATTAGTAGAACTTAAGCAGAAATTAATACTTTATAAACTTAAAATGTAAAGTAAATAAGTGGTTTCTGTCAATGATTTTGGGTCATATGATAATAGAGTACATGAGATGCTAATTTTTATAAAAAGTTATGGGGGAGGAAAAACAATTGTTTTATTTTAAAATACCTCAATTTAATGTAAAATGGCAACTTTTTCTACTAAATCTGCTACTTCAGCTCGTTTGGAAGATTTTAAAGTGAATCAAGACTAAAATAAAGATGTTTCTGTCAGGCATGAGTTTTATTGCTTTTCTCAGAAACATCATAAGCAGCAATGAGCATAAAAAACAAAACATCACATTCATCCTGTGTTAGTAAACATACAGTAGAATAAAACATTTTCTTTAGAGAAGCTTCGATCCTGGAACTGCAGATTTCTTCTTCTCTCACTTAAAGTTTTACAAGTAATAACCGATTTCTGGACGGATCAAAAGTTCTGGTTCAGACTCAACGGGAAAACTTGCGATATTAAAAACTTTGGTTCATTCTCTGAATTAAACACAAATAAGATCAAAAACATTTATTCCAACTCTATGCTGCACTTCAAAACATTCTGTCACATTAACTACAAGCCTCAGTGGGATTTGTTGGGACTTTTATAAACAGAACAACACAAAGTCTGAAAGGTGTGGTGTGCATTTATACATTTAGATCAAATCCGGTATAAGCAGAAGTGTCCATCATCTGTGAATAATTAATATTTGTTCTGTGAGGATTCCCCAGCTTCATGAAAACAATCTGGAGAAATTTAAAGCAAAACTAAATGTTGACTCAGAGTCTGAATATAAAGGCACAAAAATGTGAAATAATATGTAGCAGTACATATTATTTCACTTACAGGAAGACAGTTTTCTCCAGTTAAAATTTAAATAATCTGATTGGATATCGTCATTTTTCATCAATATCAATAAATCATGGACTTCAAACAAGCTGCTTTATCTTGCTAAAAAGCTGCTTGTACGTTAATTTGTCTTATTTCAAGGACACTAAGATATTTGTACTGCAAACTAAATCAAACGTTACGTAGTAGGATTGTGTGTTTTTGCAGTGCAGCAGGTCTGTAACTGAAATCCAACCCTGAAAAGGGAAATGTTTGTCTCCGGCGGCCCGGCCCGGCCCGGCCCAGGCCCAGGCCCGGCCCAGGCCCGGCCCAGGCCCGTTTGTGTTGTTCTGTGGACAGTAGAGGGCGTGGAGCTGCAGGACAGGAGCGCTGAGATGATGTGAAACTTTTCAGACGGTGTGAAGCTGAAGGTCTGCTGTCATATTTCAGAGATTAAAGAATGAATTCATTTGTTTATAACACAAACATAAAGGCTTTAATAGTTTAGGTTTTACCTATCATCTAAACTTCTGTTCTGCTCCCATTTCCCCTTCAAAAGTACAATGTGCATCAGAAAAGAAGCATTTTATTTTCTCCAGTGTCTGTCTTAGTTTCCACAAACTCAGCACTTCAGGATGGTTTTACATCCTGTTGTGGACAAATTAGCTAAATTTTCTCTGAGTCTTTGTGCTTGTTAATACACTAAACATCAACATTTGTTACAGTAAATAAATCACATTCACAGTTGAGAAAAAAACCCATACTACCGATAGTTTTTACACAGCAAGTATTTATGACCGTTTTTAAAGTGTATTTTTCTCCCTACTGAAAAGTGCTTGACCAGATAAAGGGCGGGAATCACCATGGCAACCAGAGATAAAGGCGGGAATTACCATGGCAACCAGAGATAAAGGCGGGAATCACCATGGCAACCAGTGGTGGGGAGAGGAAGGAGAAATTTAACGTGGCAGTTAGAAGAAAACAAAACAAAGACTGTTGGAATATTATCTGAGATGTGTCTTTAAAAAGTGCCTAGTAAATGTTGCTATGGTGACCGGACAAAGGAGAGAAAAAGTGGTCATTAAAATCACCACAGCAACCATTAAAATGAGAAAAACATCTTTCAACGTGTTTCATTTACACCAAGTTACCATGGCAACTAGGACACAAAAATAAAAGGAAAAAAAAAACATAAAAAACAAAAAACAGTCAAAATTCTGATGACTGAAACAAAAAAACTTCACAGCAAAACATTCAGGAAAAAAATTACAGCCGGTTGAAAACAGCCAATCACAAGCTGCGATACGTTTTTTTAGCTTTGTGGAGTTGCTATGGCAACTCGGCAAGAAATAGTGGCAGAACCAACAAAAAAATAAATCCAGAAATTACCATGGCAACAACGTTCAAGATAATAAAAAACTTAATTAGAAAGTAAACGTATCGAACCAAAAAAGGCGGGAATCGCTATAGCAACCACTAAGGATCTCGGTCAATGATGTGACTGACGAACATCGTTTGTTTTCCTGTAAGCTTCCTGAAGGCACTAGTTGATGCAACACACTGCTGTGTCTGCATTCCCATCTATAATCATACATCTAGATCAAAAAGCAGAAACGCCCCTTCAGGACCAATAACCAGGAAACAGTCGCCTGGTGGCTGCAGACCATCAGCCGACTGTTTCCGCTTCCTTTCAATGGACCAAAGTGAAGCTGAACAGAACAACGTCTCCTCCTAAAATTCAAACATCAGAAGC